TCTTGTTATCGTCTATGTTGTTAGGTTTGTCAGTTTGTTTGGGAATTCATTCTTTTTTATTTCATTGAGTATGTTTGGATCTATGGGAATAGGGATGGCTGTGTCAAACCGCTACATGGCTAGCGATTCGTGTTGCTCTTTCAGGGGTGACCGTCTCTAAGTCTAATCATAGGGTTTACAGTCGTAATTTTTGGATTTTAGTTGGTGTGAGTTTTGTTTTTCCTTTGATTGATGTAATGATCCTGAAACTTATGATACGAAAGAAGATTAGTTGATGATAAAAAAATCTCTCTATTCTACTTTTGAGGAAGGGTGTATACTTGAAAAGTCAACAAAAAATCGTTTTATTTAAAGACCGTGAATTTAAATTAGGAGCTTAATCGGAATGAATTTTAATCCATAACAATTAGTGGTATTTAGAATGTTTTTACTTGAAATGAACCCCCCAAACCATCACAATGCAGTCATACGCCACGACACTCTCCATCTCTTGGCAGCGGACAAAGAAAGCAGACACTTGATCTCAGTGAGCACACTCTGTGTTCTCTATACTCCACACACCCTCTGTTCTCAGCCCTCTCGGAACACTTTTCAAAGCCTACTCGATCGATTATTTATGTAAAAATGTACGGAAAATTAACTTTCAAATTTATGCAAGTCATTTATGCTTAAAATACTAATTTGCCGCCATGGTTTGATGAAGATGGTAAACTTTGCTGATGATAGTTTGATGATGGTGAGATTTGCCGATGGTAGATGAAATATAAATTGATATACTCATTCTCTAAATTAACCGATGTAAAATAGTTTACAACCCCTACGTAAAATATTTTACATAGTACAGTGTAAAGTATTTTAAAAAAGTGTCATACAATTTACATTAAATACTTAAAGCGAACAGTGTAAAATGTTTACTTCCCCACACTTTACACACAAAATATTTACTTTACATCATACCAAAGGAGCCCTAAAGTTGTGTTAAATACAAGAAAGAACCAACAATAACCAAGTATATGAATGAGCCTAAGAACTCGTTGCCCGGGCCAAACTATGAGCCGACAAATTCGCCTATCTATGATTAAAGTGAAAAGACACAGAATCGAAGTGTCTTGCTAAAGACCAACAACTAGCAATAACAATACCCGCGTAAGATAAATCTCAAGTAGAGGAAGGAGTTGATAAGATGACACACATTAAGACAATCTGTCTCCACCCGAATATGTTTTCAATCCAAGAGAGAGTTTCTTTCATCGTGTGTAGATCACAGGTACACCAAAGAGAACTATTTTTAGCAGCGATAAAATCATCATTTACAGAGCAAATGACAGCTCCAGAGTAGGCCTCCTCTGAATCTGGAAAAACCGCAGCAAATCACCCTAGCCCTAGGAACATTACTAGTTTTTTTTATCACTAACTTGAATTTCAAGAATGCCCTCCTTCCAATTAAAGAAATTCATTTGGTCCAAAAGGTGGAATCTCCCACCCCAGGAGCCCCCCATACCTCGACCCGACAGGATTTTTGGGAGGATGTTAATCACGGTGACTCAGTCGGCCCAATGATGGTAGGCCTTTTTCCCGTGCGCACCAGAGGCCCAGCCTTATTTCAGGTTCTGTGACCTCCAGGGTTTCGAACCTTGGTCACTTGGTCCAAATTTCCCACCACTGAACCAACTGAGCTACACGTGCGGGTATTAAAGAAATTCATTTGCTTGGTAGTTGGTAGTCATTTTATATTATTTTTGAGACATTAAGTAGTTGTCATACACGTAATAGGGCTTTTTAGACAGAAAAATAATAGGGTTATGAAAACAAGTACGGAGTAGTATGTATTTAAATGGGATCATTGGTTTCTAAATGTGTTGCTCCTGTTCAAAAGAATTTCTCTTGTAATTAAAGCAAAATTAAACGCTTCACCTCGTACGTTGCACAGGGAAATGATTTCTAATTTGTTTGGTCATTAAATATGAGTACTTGGCGTGGGTGGAGTATTTAAAATACTTAGGGTATGTTTGGGAGTTTGGAGGGAAGGGGAGGGGAAGACTTTGGAGGTATGTTGTTGGTAGGGGTGGGCATGATTGGTTAACCGCACTTTGGTTAACCAATTTTCGGTTAACCGTGATGTTGGTTAATATAGTGTTAATGTCATTATCCGTACCGTAACATTGGTTAACTGATACTCGGTTAACCAAAATATCGGTTAACCACTAATCGGTTAACCAAAAACCATGAAAAGGAAAAGAATAAAGTCATCAAACTACTCTGTATTAAACATTTGATTTGTTAAAAAATACATAAGCACTTCAAGATTAAATTAGAAATTTTATATAGCAGAAACTTTTCCAAAAAAAACTCCCCGGCTCCGAAACTTTAATTAGCCCGTATACACCGTATTATCTTTCCATGTGTACTACTACTTTTCCATATTATATGTTCCTATATCTATGTATTTATACGGTTATTAGGTTAATTATACTATTTATATACGTATAGCACTAAAGAAAATGTATACATTTCTTTAGCTTATATACGGAGTAATTGATTGTAAAGTGTGTATATTATTCCACTATGCATGCGTGAACCTGAATATACATACACCAAAATTCCAAAAATGATACAAAGTGTTCACTTTCCCGTCCCCATACCTTTGTCGAAATTTATTGTCCGTGTGTAGTGTTTGCGTATAATCCTACGGTTACTGGTTAACCGGTGACATAATTTCCAAAACCGTAACCGTACCGCTAACCGTTTTTCCCTCCCAGTTGGTTAACCGTACCGTGAGTTTTAAAAATTCCGGTACGGTTAACCGAAAAAGACACCGGTTTTCCGATTTTTCGGTACGGTTAAACGGTTACGGTTTTTTGTGCCCACCCCTAGTTGTTGGAGGGGAAAGGGAGGGGATGGTGGGGAAGCCCTTCTTTGTATTTGGGAGTAATAAAATTGGAAGGAGAGGGTTTTTGAAGGAATTATAATTAAAATCACTTTGAGATATGACGAATTCAAATCATTGAGCTGATATTCGTTTCTAATTTAGCTTAAATTACCATCTTGTTAATTACCCTCCAAAACCCTCCAAATTGGGGGAACTTAAAAATTAAGCATTTGGAGGGTTTTGAAGGGTTACAAAAGCCCTCCAAAACCACCCCTCCAATTTTTTAAACTCCCAAACATGAAAAGGAGGGTCATAAACCCCCATTAACCTTCCCCTCTCCTCCAAAACCAAACTCCCAAACACACCCTTAAGCACTAAAAAGTACGTACTACATATTTTTTAACTCCAAAAACTACGGAGTAATAATAAAAATAAAATTCTATGAAGAAAATGTGATTATAAGTTGTCATGAGTAAGTTTATAATTACTACAATATAATACTTGAATATAATTATAGTCGTTAAAGTTAATTATCACATTTTTGTTTACAACTTTTATTTTGGTTAAATATAAAAATATCTCCACTCCTTGACACCCCGCCTATTTGATAACACTTAAATTAGTTGGATATGTTGACATGGATGAAATTCTGGTTGAAACAGTTAAATTGAATGAATCCGCTGAATTTGTTAAAAAAAATATTTAAAACATACATAGTAGGTAGTATTTATTAATAAAACAAATGAAAAATTATACAAAAAATAGTTAAAATAATGTGCTTCATCAATTTCAACTAATTCAATCAGAAAAATAATCCTACTTCACTTGTTTGATTATTATACAATTAACGCCGAAATTAAAAATTACTCCCTCCGTCATGCACAAAAGTTTTCATGCGATTTACCATGTTTGACTAGCCATAGAGTTAACTGATCTCTTTTCGTAATAAAATTATTTTAAGTAAATGAAATTTACATATTCAGAAATCATATTAAAAATTTTATAACGTTGCAAAAAAACTCAAATTTGATAAAAGTTAGATGGAGTATATAAAATAAAAGATCAAGAAGACTTTATGTTGATTGAAGAATTTTTGTATGGTACGAAGGTAGTATATGTTTAATAAAAACAAATTTTCATCCTTTTGTAAAAAAATATTACCAGTATCAAATGGGCTTTTCGCCCTTTCACACGCAAAAATTACTCAGTCGTCCCACTAAGATTGTCTAATCTTTCATTTTCTGTCTGTCACATTAAGAGCCCATTTGGTAACCTCTTTTTTAATTCATCAGGCTTATCAGACAGTTTTTTTACCAAACACGTAAATTTTTATTTCACGTGCTAAATTGTGTAATAATAAGAAAAAGTAATGTTGAAGTTACTTTTCTATCTATATCGGCTGAAGTTACTGTAGAGAATCATTTTAGCTATTTTTCATATAAATTTTTATTTTATTTATTAATAAAATATATTTTAAATATAATTTTGTTCATAAATCAGTAGAATCAACCAATACAACCACTTCAGTCAAAACTTCATAAATTTCAGCCAATTCATCCAATTTCAGTTTTATCAAACGGGCTCTAAGATTGTTCTATATCAAATTTGGTAAAATTTATGTAAATCTAAATTATTATTACTTTTTTTTACTTTATGCATTCAATATCAATCAGATGAACTCATTTTTCTTAATAGTTGTTCCAAAAGGTGGAATCTCCCACCCCATGAGCCCCCACCCCGACCCGACAGGATGGTGGGGAGGTTAGTCACAGTGACTCAGTCAGCAGAAATGACAGTAGACCCATACATCCGTGCGCACCAGAAGCCCAGCCTTATTTCAGGTTCTATGACCTCCACCCGGTCGCTGCGGGAATTCGAACCTTGATACATTGTTTCAAATCTCCCGCCACTCGACCAATTGAGCTACCCGTGCGGGTCTCATTTTTTCTTAATATTAGTGGGATAGATGTGTACAAAATGAATAGCCCCTGTTTTATGTTTGCTAATTGCCACATACACGTCAGAGTTGGCTCCGCCCCGCAGTTGCAGGGCTGCTCTCTGCTCCTTGCTGCTATTTGCAGGCCACCACCTATATATACATCACTCTGTATCTATTCATCTCCTACACAAGCTGTAAAGAGGGTGGGGAGGCTCGTATAAAGTGCGATGATTTGATTCGTAAAGGAAAAAAGCATTTTACTTTCCTCACATACAAATTCTAGAGAGAGAAACAAATCAAATGAACAATTAATCATTTCTTTCCAAATTGCAAGCTTATATGTAATGTTTATCTGTGAAAATTCCACATGTTCTGCTGGAAGGAACTTGTAACTTCTTCAATCTGGGCTGAAGCGTAGGTTTTAGAGAGAGGATGTGTGGATTAATCGATCTGAACACTGTGAGCAATGAAGACGACGAAGAAGCGACGGCGTCTCCGGATACTTCGGATTTGACGGAGACTTCTCCTCCGCCCCCGCCGGCGTCGCTGAGTGTGGAGCTCTGGCACGCGTGTGCGGGACCGCTGATTTCACTCCCGAAGAAAGGATGCGCTGTCGTGTATTTACCGCAGGGCCACCTGGAACACCTTTCCGACTACCCTGCCGTGGCATATAACCTCCCCCCTCACGTCTTCTGCCGTGTTGTTGACGTCAAGCTCCATGTTAGTCATCACGAGCTTCTATTCTTTTTTTGTCTGCCGATACGAAAACGGAAAACTAGGGAGTTGAAATACTCTGTACCAGTGTACCACATTTTGGGTTCCATTTCTCGCCCTTTTCGTCGATGGAAATCAGTTTTTATTTATTTATTTATTATACTCGTATTAATTAAGTAATAGGGACTGACCAATCAAAACGAATGTTGTACATAAGTGGTACACCAAATATGGCACATTGGCATGGAAGATTTGAAATAGCTAATGGGATAGGTATGAATGTAGTGTTATTACAAGCATCCTGAGCTTGTAGGTTAGAGCATGCTCTTGTGTTTTTGGGAAATCTTTCTGAAAATCCTGTTTGTGGCATTTGTGAATATATTTTATATTTCATTTAATTATAACTCCGCATAATAGTGATAATGATACTAATAACAATAGCAGTTATAACAATAATAATATTATAATTATTTATTGAATGATTGATTCAGAGAAGTGGGTTGGAATGTAGGCGGAGGTAGCTACTGATGAGGTCTATGCACAAGTGTCACTGGTACCAGACAATCAGGTATGGTTCAATATATACATAGAGCTCATGGTTCTCTTGTATTCAGATGTTATGACTTCCTAACAGGATAGGTTGTGTGTTTTTTTCTTTGTGGTAAATCTGGTGTAAGCATTATTTGTATCCTTTTTATTTTATCATTTTTATGTATATTCATCTCTTTTTATATTATCTTTTTATAATAGCTTATCTTTTTTATCTTTATTTCCTTTCTTTTCCTTTTGGTGGTGATATCATGTATCGATTCATGTTAGCCGACCCCAATACCCTTTGGATGTTGTTGTTTTTGTTGTTGTTGGTAAATCTGGTGTAAGAATAAAATTACAATTTTGTTTCTATAAACATAGGCAATAAAATATCAATGCGTCATTGGATTGCATTAATATGGTCATTTTAGTAGATGCTTCTCCTACTCTCCTACTCATATCAGGAGTTCATAACTAATAGTCTAAAATAGGCAATATCTTCCTCATGTGGGTTTTTCTAAAATTCCTTTTTTTGTCTTTTTCCTCAGCTGAATGTGAAACATTTAGTCTTGTGAGTTATTCCATTTTGAGCAATTGACTTCCTTTCCCAGATTGAACAGAAATGGAGGAATGGTGATGTTGAAGTGGATACCGAGGAAGAGGATACTAAAGGAGATAGAAAGTCAAGTACATCACACATGTTCTGCAAGACTCTCACTGCTTCAGATACCAGCACCCATGGCGGTTTCTCTGTCCCTCGGCGAGCTGCTGAAGATTGCTTTCCTCCTCTGGTATTGTCAATAAGAGTTTGTTTCAGTTTACACACACGTGTGTGTGTATTTCCTTTGATTTAGTATTGTTTTGTTAGAACACTTTATTAAACTTGCCGTTGGTAGGATTATAAACAACAGAGGCCGTCACAAGAAATAGCAGCAAGAGATCTTCATGGGATTGCATGGAAATTTCGTCACATCTACAGAGGTATAGTTTTATACTACGTATTACTTTCTAGCATTGATATTTTTTTAATTTCTAGGATCAAATTCCCAGGGAACATGGTGGAGGTGGGGGGCATACTAGGCCTTGGCCCACCCCAAATTTAAAATATGTTTAAACTTTATTGTAAAAAAATTATGTTATGAAACAAAATAATTATGCTATAATTTTTCCAAAATAAATCTTTGTACCGGCCCAGACCAATTTATACCCCTGGCTACGCCACTGCCAGGGAAGGCAACATGCACGGTCTGTTATCATGCATTTTGCCAACTAAATGACTTTCTGGTTACCTGACCAGGTCAGCCACGAAGGCATTTGCTTACCACTGGTTGGAGTGCATTTGTAAATAAGAAGAAACTTGTTTCAGGAGATGCTGTGCTTTTCCTTAGGTACAAATTTTAGAACCTGAAAGGCTTTCATGTATCTGTTACGTCATTTCTTATTTGTTGTAATCATTATTTGTGACAGGACTGAGGATGGAGAACTTAGGCTTGGAATCAGAAGAGCAGCTCAAGCTAAATTTGGTTCTCCTCCTTCAGTTCCTTTTAGTCAACAATTGAATGTTAGTGGTATTTTGGATGTGGTTAATGCGACATCGACAAAAGGCATTTTCAGTGTCTGCTACAACCCAAGGTATACCATAATTTTTTTTGATAATCTCACTTCTGGTTAATTGCAAACATGTAATGGAAAGCCTTGCCAATTCTGCCAGCATCTCATACTATCATAGCAAATTGAAGGATTTTTCAGTATTTGAGTAGTTTTATATGTTTAGTCAACCAACACATGAGTTTAATAAGGAAAACAAGCCAACACACGAGCCTAACCTTTTTCTTTATCATTAAAAATCATAGATGTATCATGCATGCATAAAAAGGTCATTTTTAGCCAATTTTTCACCTTTTCAAATTTCGTTCTTTTACCGTAGCATACTTTTGACACTTGCAATACCGCCTTAGTTGTTGGTAAAAGTTTATTTGATTCACATTTGTGTCAAAACATGTTACAGTTCTTTCTAACTTAAATGGCTAAACACGTTCATCATCATCATTATTGTTATTATTATGTACTCCCAATTGTTGTCACAGCTTATCTCTGATATCAATTATCAATGATCCATGTATTCTCCAGAATCCAGATTCAAGTAACTCATCAGTTAATCATCACAGCATTACTTGCTCTACCTGCCTTTGAGTGCACCTAACTTAAAATAGGAAGGGTTGAATTACATTGATATTTTTAATATGATTATAGTCGCTACTACTAGGCTATATCACAATTCTAAGAGACGGCCTTTCACCTTATTAGACAACCTATTATGAGGTTGGCGACATATGCGCTCTTTCTTGCATAGTTGCATGTTTATTTGTTTAGGATTCTAGTGAGAACTCCTAAAATGAGAACTCCTTAAAATGAGATCTTTTAATCTCAACCCTTCGTTTATTGCAATCATTGGTTAATATTCACATGGGGACATATTCATTATTAGCCTAAATTCAAATGGGACTTTTTTGTAATTAATCCTAAATAATTACAAAAATGCTACCTTGTCAATATTAGCCATTGATTATAAAAATGATTGATCAAGATTAGAAGCTCTCATTTTAAAAAGGGGTTTTCTTCTTAGAGAGGTTCTCACTAGAACCCTCCCCATTTTTTAAAACAGTATTTGTTTAGGATTCTAGTGAGAACTCCTAAAATGAGAACTCCTTAAAATGAGATCTTTTAATCTCAACCCTTCGTTTATTGCAATCATTGGTTAATATTCACATGGGGACATATTCATTATTAGCCTAAATTCAAATGGGACTTTTTTGTAATTAATCCTAAATAATTACAAAAATGCTACCTTGTCAATATTAGCCATTGATTATAAAAATGATTGATCAAGATTAGAAGCTCTCATTTTAAAAAGGGGTTTTCTTCTTAGAGAGGTTCTCACTAGAACCCTCCCCATTTTTTAAAACAGAATATATTATACTTCGTACATCCTTAACTCTACCATCAACAGATTCATCACTTGTCAATAACCAGACTTCGCCTCAAATAAAGCCCTATAGACCTAGAGTATTGTTTACCCTAAAAATTCACTATCCACTGAAGAAAGCCAATCACAATGACCCATTTATGCTGTGTATGATCCAGAATTTACTGTCTACATCCGTCGTGTTCCATTTTCTCTATCTGTAACATGTGCATTTTCAGAGATAGCCTATCAAAGTTCGTCGTACCTTACAACAAATTCTGTGGGAGCCTTTCACGTTCTTTTACACCTGGATTGAGATTTAAGTTGCACTTTGAAACGGAAGATGCGGCGGAAAGGTTGGTTTACTTTTTTCCCACCATCTAATCAAATTCGTGTAACCAAGTATTTAATTTTTGCTTACCAAAAAAAAAGCATTTTATTTTTAAGTTTATGGCAGGTACAATGGAATTGTAATTGGGATTGGTGATGTGGACCCCGTGCGTTGGCCAGCTTCAAAATGGAGGTGCCTATTGGTATGAATTTTTTGTGGCACAGATTATTGGATTTGCACATAATTTGCATCATGGCATTTGTACACTTGTAAGGTGCAGAAGAGGGAAGTTGAATGCCAGTGCTTATAAGAGCTCTTGATGTTAAGTAGTAGTAGATCTACTTGAGGCGAAATAGTAAAGCAAACCGTTAAGTTCTCAATCCTTAAAAGTAGTCTGTTTTAATTACTCTTTTTGTCCAAAAAAGTCCGGTTTTCATAGTTTACATATATTTTAAATCAAATTCTTGTCAAGCCAAGCAGCAAGGGAGTTGTAGTCAATTCCTCCAAGACATTCTTTGCATTAAGTTTTAGGGGTATTTGCCCCTGTTGCATCATTTATATTACCTATTTATTCTTCTGTGGGAAATCGTTATGATAAAACAACTGTTCAAATACTCTAGATCATAAAATACGTGATGATTTTTCTGCATCAATATCTGCATTTGAATCTCAGTTTGTCCCATTATCTTCAGGTGAGGTGGGATGATCCAGATGACACTAGACATAACAGGGTTTCACCATGGGAAATTGAGCCTGCTGGAACACTTCCCGGACCAATCAATATGATTGTACCTGCTGCAAAGAGGACCAGGATTGGACTGCCAACTCTTGGGGAAGATTTTGCAGTTGCTGGTTGTCTTTTTTCTTTCAACTCTTTTATCCTTTAGGGCTTTGTTTGGATGGAGGCTTTTGGAAGTGAAGGTTTTGAAGGGCTTTCTGATGCATACTTGTTATTTAATATAAAAAATTGCACACATGCAATTATATAACATTTCAATAACCTTTTATTTGTTTCTAGGAACATTCTATTTATCAAACTATATACTATGATCTCCAGAACCTATATCCAATTGACTCTAAGTTGTACAACATTTATGTTTTAGTATTACTAACTTGTCCCTCAATTCTTCTTGCAGATGGGAGAGTCGTGTTGGACATTGGTGACCCACCCAGATTTCCAGTCTTGCAAGGTCAAGGAATTTTTGCAGTAAATAATAAACGTTATGATGGTTCACTGTACCTTCCTGGTTATGACAATTCAGAGATTTCTACAAGAAGTAGAAACATTAGAGCTCTGCTGTGTGAATCATCACAAGAAAGCTTTGCTGAACCTTGCCGGTTCAATAAGGTCTTGCAAGGTCAAGAAACTTACCCGAGATGGACTACACCACCCATCCCAAATCATCACCACAGTCAAACACAACAGCCACCTTCTTCTCCGTTTCATCGGGTCTCTTCATCACCCCCTGTGCTAATATTTCAGAAGCAATCCAGAATTTTGGATCTTCTCCGGCCTCAATCATCCTGTACGGTCTTCGGTTTCCCCATATTATCTGAGGGATTAAGTGGCCCATTCACTGAAGAAAGCGGTCCATCTTCACAGGGCGAGACAACATCTCAAGTCATTTCCAATGCAATTGGAAGCAGTTTTCCCAAAGTAAATGAACCTTATGCCTCAAGGGAAGTGCTTCTTGATATAGCACTCTAAAAAGGGATCTCTTGTGGAAGAAAGTGTTCAAAAGCAAGTGTCTTTTAAGATTTGTGATGCCTGAAATATAAATTATAATGTTGCTTGCTTGCTACAAAAGCCGTGATTTGTTTTTGTTTATGGTTTTGGGCTGTTGCATCCACGATATTGAACATATATTTTTATAGTACAGTACCCCAGTGTGTAAGACAATTGCAAACTGTATGCTTACTTTATACTTCGTATTCCGTATTATAAACATGTAAGATTATTTTAGAACTAGCTTTCAAGCCCGTGCATTAAATGTGATTTAATTTAGCTAATTTGAAATTTAATTTCTATCGGATCACATATAATGTGATTTAAAAGAAAAATAAACTTAGTCTAATATAGAGTCTATATGATAATACTAAAGTAAATAGAATTAACTTATTTTGCTGAAATTGATTGAATTCTGGTTAAATAGGTGGAATCTTCTGAATCATGAAAAAAATATGTGAAATATATTCCATTTGTGAAACAAAGAAAAAAATATATGAAAAAAAGTTAAATTGGTCTTCTACATAAGCATCTCAAGTAAACATAATTGTTATGAATCCAATAATAAAAAAATTCTATACTTGTTAATTGTTAGATCTTACAGTTTACTCATTAATAAGAACGTTTTTAATTGAATTAAAATTTTGGGTTTGATTTGGTATGAATTAATATGGTCTATTAGATGTCTATTTTTTATGTGACTTATTGTTATAATTATTAACGTTTGATCTGATCTGATTTAATCTGGAACTGAAATCAATCCAATTAAAAACATTCTATTAAAAAAAGTAGGAATTCGTAAACCTATAAAGATTTTCTAATTTGGATTAGGAATCTATTTCAAAAGTGAAGACATTTGAATTTTAGGTGTAAAATAAAGAAACAACAAAAAAAATTACTTATTTGGCTAAGCTAAACATATTTATTTGTGAAAATATATATATTTTATGTTGGTTATAATTTTTAATTTCATTTTTAATTATTTACTTATTTGAAGCTTACTAATTTATTAATGGGTGTCAAATTAATAAGTAAACTAATTTGCATATTTGTTTCTATTTAATTCGGTGTAGTAAACTACCGAGTAATATAAATTAGTTTCCATATCAATAAACGTTATTAGAATTTCACTTTGATAACCAAAAATTATTTTACTTATTTGAAGTTTACCAAATTAATTAAGGTAGATTTATAAGGATTTTTGTTTCCATATCGATATGCAATCAAAAATAGAATCTAATAAAAACAAAAGATATAAAAATAAGTAAATAATTGTTATATATAATGACATGACATGATTATGTGGCGTTTTGTATGCTCTTAAAAAGTCCCTCTTTTATATATATATATATATTGATTTATTTACTGCATATTAAATAGGGTATTTGAAGTATTCTATTTTAATGCTATGTATGTTCCCTCCTGTCACCTTTTAAGGTTTCCATATATCCTTTTTGAATATTCCATATCAAGATATTTATAAATAAGTTTTATGTCTAAGGTTTCAATAGGAGATCTGGGCCCACCATTATATTTTCTTCAGAAATAAAAATTGATCACAAAACGCAGGAATTTTGATGGATGGCGGATGGTTGATCACTCCACAAATCCAACTTATTCATTGAAGTCCCCAGCAACTTGCGTACATTACCTTTTGAATAATTCGTATATACTCCGTACTATGTAGTATTTGGGAATACTAATAAAGAGAAAACAGTTGCCAAACTTGATAAAAAGTACTACCGTTCCAAAAAGATTGGTCAATTTGATTTTTTCTATCAATGTTGTTAAAGTTTAGACAATAATTTTAAATATTATATTTGTGTGTAATTTATAAATTTTATATTTTTATGAAAGATTCTTTAAAAAAGAATATGCTCATAAAATTTTCATATTCTAAATAATTTTGTATTAAAAAATATGATTGGTCAAACTTATCCACCATTGACCAAGAAAAATTAATTTGGCCAATCTTTTTGAACCGGAGGGAGTATTACTTATATCTCTTTCATGTGGCCTAGACTAGTGTAGCTCATTATAAATTTATTGCCTTATTGATTACTTTAAGATTCATAAATTACCAAACTCCTAAACTACTTAAAAATTTGGAACATAAGACGAATGTTAAGGTCTCAAGGAAGAGAATTTATGGAAGAAAAAAGTGTTTTTTTTTATGATATTTTGTGATTGTCTTTCAATTTCTATATTTGATTGCATTTTCTTTTTAATGTTTTTAATCAACTAGTCTACATACAGTGACATATCTTGCAACCGAAAGTTGAGTGTTTAAAAATCATTCATGGTTAAAATATTGCACAATAATATTGTTTGATCCCACAATTGAAGAAATGTAATTTTTTCAACAAAAAAAAATAGGAAAAAGGGTTAAGGGTAAAAAATATTATATGAAGAATACAATGTACGTAGAATACATGCATGATTACATCAAGTTTACACATGTATTTTTACATCTTATTTTGAATTTTTTGGGTGTTTGCCTGAACACCCTGATCAAAGGATGCCTACTCCTGTCTATATATAATTTATCGTGTAAAATATTACTGACTAATATGAAATTGTAATTTTAGTTTTTGTCTGGAGCACCAAACCAACTATAGATGGCCCTGGTAACATGAGAGAGGTAAACACATAAGAAATAGGAAAGTTTCCTGGGATATGAGTAAAACATATTCAATTTCTCGAAATATGACTAGCTTTGTTTTTAGACATTTGTATGACTAAAAAATAAAAATAAAAAGAAATTCTTGTCATATTAAAATGTTGAATGACAAAAATACTCTTAATTAAAAAAGTGCATTTTGCATTACTTTCGTCTAAAAGTAATGCACTGTATACAGACGTTACAACACGACATTTACTACTCTTTATGACGGTGGCGTTATTGCACGACATCACGAAAATGTTTTTAGAGCATTACGAAAATGTTATAAATTTTACTTTCTTTTTTTCCTAATTAAATATAAAGCACATCATGTTGGAGTTATGACACAACATTATAAAAGAGTTAGTGCACTTTATGTCAATATTACTGCACTTCTTGTCATAATTACTGCATTACTTGTCATATCATTGCACTTCTTGCACTTCTTGTCATATTTACTCATTAAATAGAAATAATTAACTGCGTTCACTACTCATTGTCCTAGAATTCATTACACAATATCTTGAATCGTCTTCAATCCAGGGTTCGTCTCTAACCTTGAGCGGTGAGCGCGCAAGCATGGGGACGGCGGCGGCTGCAGGTAGGCATGCATGCATGGAGACGGTGGCGACATGAGGATGGGGGCGGTTGCGGGTAAGCAAGCGGGCATGGGAACATCAACGACGAGTAAGCATGAGGAAGGTCGCAACAAGCAGACATGAATCGACAATGGTGGCGCATGGGGATGGTGGCGGCTCCTGGTATGCGCACACCATGGAGACGGCCACGGCGAGCAGGCATGGAGAATGCGGTGGCGCATGGGGTCAATAACGACTGTGGGTAGGCGACTAGGCGCGCATGCATGGGGGTAGCCGCAGCCACGCGGGAGGTTGGAGCAGACTTGGGCGGCGAGAGACTAGAGGCAAATTTCTAGTGGTTAGGGTTTGAGAAATGAGTAGGAATTTGGAAATTATTAGTCATAAAAATTATTTATTTATTCATTAAATAAATCATCATCATCATTATCATTACCCGAGTGCTGAAAAGGCTCCCATCTACGGTGGGGTAAGGGAGGGTTGGATGTACGCAGTCTTACCTCTGTACTAAAGCACACAGAGACTGTTTCTGGATGACCCATAGTGAAAATCATGTCAAAAATTGCATGGACTGACTACTGCTTCATAACAAAGAAGCGCAGACAGTTTAGTGAGCCATTTGCTTTATTCCATCATAGTCCCAAGCCAAAAAATAGCGTGTCTTTGGCTCCATTGCAAATGATGGAAGTAAATAAATAAATAAATAAAAAACCTTTAGTTAAATAAATAAATATTACGAATTTAAATAATATTTTGGTTAGATGGATATGTATCCCATAGAATCAGAAGGACGGTGCGTTAGATGCGGATGTATCCCATAGAATCAGAACAGTGTGGATGAAGTGGAAGAGTGCGTCAGGGTTTCTATGCGATCGAGGTATGCCAACTAGACTGAAAGGTAAATTTTACAGGACGGCAATTAGGCCTGCATTACTGTATGGCGTAGAGTGTTGGGCAGTGAAATAATGTCACATTCAAAAGATGAGTGTGGCAGAGATGTGCATGCTGCGTTGGATGTGTGGGTATACTAAGGACCGCGTGAGACAATCAGACAAAGGATGAGAGTAGCACCTATTGAAAACAAGATGCGGGAGTCGCACCTACGATGGTTTGGTCATGTGCGTAGAAGACCGAGTGATGCACATGTCAGACGAGTTGAGATGTGTGGAGAAAAGGCAGAGAAGAGAGGGAGAGGAAGACCCAAAAAGACGTGGATTAGGGGAGTTCGAAGTGATATGCTTCTTCTGGGGTTGGATGAGGGCATGACTTTGGATAGAGCTAAGTGAAGGGCGGGTATTCGTGTGGAGAAGTGATCTCGTATCATCTTTTTTCCTTGTTTTTTATCCTTATATATAAGCATTATTTGTATCCTTTTTATTATATCTTTTTGATGTATATTCATCTCTTTTTACATTATCCTTTTATAATAACTTATCTTTTTTATCTTTATTTCCTTTCTTTTCCTTTTGGTGGTGATATCATGTATCGATTCATGTTAGCCGACCCCAATATCTTTTGGGACTAAGGCTTAGATGTTGTTGTTGTTGTAAATAATATTTTGGTTAAAAAACTAATGAGGTCATAAATCAGGAAACTGAGGCAATTTAGACTTTTAGTCATAGTTAGGGTAATTTTCTCTAAAAATTAATAAGTATAATATCTCTTTCCTTATTTCAACGATCATGTATTTTTTGGTAAGTTTTTCTTCATAGTGTCATACTCAATGGCTAGATGTTGACATTATAATTGACATTGATGAGAAAAAACTTACCAAAAACTGTGGAATGAATGAGAGAGATGTTGCGATTGTATTTTTCTGTATCTATCTCTCCCATGCCATATGCACTATGCACACGGTAGCATTATAGAAGCTCTATTATCTATTATCTTTTCTTATTAGGTAATATACTATTTCGATATGGCCCTAAACATGAAAGTCGGACTTTATAATTAAAAGTTGGAAAAATTTACAAGAATAATCTCACCTTTAACAGGTCTTCTCATAATAATCCTACATTTACGAGTTCTCAAAATAATGGCACTTTTGCATCCCATATTTTTGCATTTTTTGAAAAACTTACAAAAATTCATTTTTCCATCCTTTTGTTCTTAATTTTTTTTCATATTTATTATTTTATTTCTCACTCTATTAGGAGGGTTCTTTTTTTTTTGTAAAATTTCCTTCCCAAATAGTTTTTTTGTCATTTTCTTCCTATATTTTTATTTTTATTTTTGTTTCATTTCTCCTTTATGTGTTTCTCTTCTTACTCATTCTCTTTTTGTTAAAGATCAATTTTCCACTCTAGTTTTTGTTATATTTTCTTTTTCTTTTCACTTTTCCTCTTTCTTCTTCAAGTTACTTTTTTGGGAAAAGTACGAAAAAGATACTAGTGGTTGAGCTTGTTTTTAGATAGGGTCATGTGTTTCATTTTTTATCAAAGTGGTTAGTGTGTGTGAATTCCGTTATCACAAAAGGGTCACGCCATTAAAAACGCCTGAGAAAGTCGGTTAATAGTTACTCCGATTTTCAAAAGTGCCTAAAAATGAAAGGAATAATACCGAAAGGTGTGCCTCATAAAGACGACCTTCAAACCACCTTCGCCTTTGGATTTTTTGGATCTGTTTGAATTATTTTTAAAAATGAATTCGCTAATATCACTTTTCTGGTGAACTTTCCGGTGACAAAGGTGGCGGGAAACAAAAAGGAATGATGGTCTAACGGACGTCTTGTTGAGGCGCACCTTTCATTATTTTTCTTTTAATTTTTTGGGCACTTTTGAAAAATGGAGTTACTATTAACCGTCTTTCTCAGACATTTGTAACGGCGTGACCTTCTTGTGATAACAGAATTCAAACACATTAAGCACTTTGATAAAAAATGAAACACATTATCCTATCCAAAAACAGGTCCAATCACAAATACCTTTTCGTACTTTTCCCGATTTTTTAAATGTTTTCTCTTCTTTGTTTTTGCTATCTTAATCGCACCACTTAATATATTTTTTCTCCTTTCTGCATTATGTAGTTTTCTATGTAAGTCTACTCATTAATTTCATCAACTATGAAAAAATTGTATGTGACAAAAAGATTAAGGGAAAATAAAATTGAAAGAAAAATAAAACATTATATTGGAGAAATATTAGAAAGAAAAATTTACATTTTCCCGAATGTTTTTTTTTGTTTACATTTCCTAAATGTTTTATTTTTCGTAAAATTTTATTTTTCTCTAATCTTTTTATCATATAGAGTTTTCCCCACAAGTGATGAAATTAATGGGTGGATTTACTTGAAAAAATATGATAATGAAGAAAGGAGAAAAAAAATATATTGATGGTGGAATTAAGATAACAAGAAGAAAGAAAAGAAGAAAGAAGAAAACATTAAAAAAAGTAGCAAGAAGAAAAAGGGGAAAGGTGAAAATAAAAAGAAAATATAACAAAAAGTAGAGTGCGGAAAAAATCTATAAAAAGAAAATGACTAAGAAGACAAACATAAATAGGGAAATGAAATAAAGATACGAGCCCAGAAGAAAAAGAAAATCACAAAATGTGTGTTTGGGAAAGAAATTTTACACAAAAAATCTCCTAATAGAGTGAGAAATAGAATAATAAATATGGAAAAGAAATAATAACAAAAGGATGGAAAAAAGAATAAAAAAAAGTGTATGGATAAATTAAAGAGAAAAATTTTTGGAGAAAAAAGAAAAAATGAAACATGAGATTATTTACGTAACTTTTCCAAAAAATGCAAAAACCTAGTCCACAACTTTCCCATTTTAATGCAAAAACATGAGAATAATAATATTACGAAATCTCAGAATAAAACTAGTAGTTCACAATTTTCCCATTTTAATATTACACTTTAATAATAAAAAGTGCAAATGACATCTGACACCCCTCCCACTTCACCCACCGTCGCCCTACAACCCTACTGGCTGATATTCGTGTAATTTTCGATTGTATGTTTGCATTTTTAATTAGTTTTGTAGTTTATTATATTGGGAATTACACACTTTTGGTGTAATACTTTAGTTTGTTAAATATTTTGTAATATATTTAGATTAGGTTTTTATTTTGAGCTTAGGATAAGTCAAAATCATCAAAAGGATCAAAGGATGGATCATAGAGACCAAAGAATGTGCAAAAGTGGTAAGATCAACAAGGATTTGAAAATATTTCATGTACCCGATCAGGTATAAGCAATACTCGATCAAGTACTTGATGTGATTCGAACGTCAAAATCAAATCCGGAAGAACATTGGAACATGGCTGAAAATCTACAAAATCGGTTAATACCCAATCAGGTACACCGACAAACCCGGTCGAGTATTTCCTTATTTTACACCTTCTGAGAAACTGCTGAAGGTACCCGATCGGGTACTCTCACTGTTCTAAAAATCAGCCTAGGCGGACCGATTAATCGGCCTAGGCGGCCTAGTCGGCCCTAACTGTAGAGGCCTAGTCGGCCTAGTCGGTCAAAAAATCGGCCTAGTCGGCCAAAAAATCGCCCTAGTCGACCGCCTAGGCGCTAGGCGCCCCTCAACCGCTCGACTAGCGCCTAGCGAGTTTTAGAACAATGGGTAATATACCCGGTCGGGGTACACAACCCTGCCACCTCCAAACACATAAATACACCCCTTTTCATTCACATTTAATTCACCAATTTCTATATACTTCTAAGCTCAATTTAGTCAAGTACTTTCTTTATATTTTCTAGTTGGTTAACTCTTTCATCTTGGTTTTGCTACGTTGAAGCTTATGATTTGTAAGTTGTGGGTTATTTTCTTTAATCATCTTCCTTGAATATTAATTACATTTCTATTCACATTTCATATTAATATTTTGAGCATTACTTAAAGAATTAACTAGTTTTGTTCCATATATTAATTTTTACTAGAATCGATCAATGAATACGCTTGTTAATCGCTTGGTCCTTTTTACGGTAGTAAACTTGAATTATTAATGCATGCGTCTCATGTTTAATAATCTAACCGGAATTGATTATATTGATTAAACCAATAAACTACTTGTGTTGAAGCTATCAATCTCAATCGTTTTCATCTCAAGTTTTATTGTTGTTATTGAGTCAATATACGACACATGTTCTATATTGCCTCGATAGTAAATTATATTAACGAACGCATCTCGTTATTAATAACTACCCTCAATAAATTGAAGATACTATTCGATTGAGTATTCGAGAGGAAGATAGTTAAAGATATAACCGAGATCAATGAACATTTCATTCAGTGGATATAAGCAAAACCAAGTCTCCATCTCTAATTAATTAAACCATATAAGTCGTTCAACTTAGTTTTTAAATATATTTCAAGTCCAACAACAACCTTAAAACTCTCTTTGTTACTAGTTCTATAAAAGAGAAGTATTCATTTCCCCGTGGATACGAATCTTACTTCACTATACTATGTATAAGTGTTGTATTGAATATTTTTAAGCCAAGTATTTTTTTGGCAGAAATTTCTGCCAAATTTGGAAAAACTTGGCAGAAATTGCCTTGTTTTAAACCTGATAATGTCAAATTTGACAAAAGTTACTCCTATTTAGGAAATAGAAAAATGAATGTCCTAATTTTAACCTTGAAACTCCCCCATTAAAAATAGTTTATTTACTTAAATTCCATCCATGTATATAATCAATCAACATATATATGCCCATATTTTGGATTTCAATCCTTTTGGTTAGGGATGGGTTCGGTTCTTGCGGTTTGGTTCTGACCTAAAACCAAATATAGAATCAAAGTAAAAAGTTCGGTTCGGTTTCGGTTCGGTTCTACACTCCAAAACTTGGAACCACGGTTTAATTGGTTTGGTTTGTTTCGATTCAGTTTCGGTTTTTTTCGGTTTTTTTACCAAAAAATTATCATTTGATTTAAAATTGATATAATACTTTGAGGGATCAAACATATATTACATAAAGAATGCAAGCACATTACAAAAAATAAAATAAAAATGAAAATAAATAAATATGTCATGAATTATATGAGTATGCGAGAGAGATAAAAGTATATATTGTTAATTTACATTGTTTGTGACTAGTTCAAAAAAAGTTCATGAGTATATACGTTATATGTGATATAGTTGAGATAAATATTTATTGTTTCATCAATGCGAATTCTTTAAGTTAAATAAAAATAAAAGTTAATTAATACTAATAAGAAATAAAAATATATTATGAGTATAGCTACATTATTACGTGCAATGAATGTGTAAATGAATTCACAAACTAAACTAATCATAACAAACATTATTTCTCTAGCACAAGAAAACAAAAAACTATTAATGATATTAGGATTAGTTAGGATTAATGCTTAACAATTGACAAATAAATTTTACTCCGTATATTTTAACTAGTTCGGTTTGTTCGGTTCAGTTCGGTTATGAAGGATAAAAACCAAAACCGAACCAAACAACTATGGTTCGGTTCGGTTTTTTACATTCGGTTTCGGTTTGTTAGCGCTTCGGTTTTATTTGGCTACGATTCGATATGATTTGATTCGGTTTTCGGTTTTCGATTTTTCCCATCCCGTCCTACTTTTGGTTTAGATAAAACTTTTGATGTTCTTCCGTTTTTCCACTTTCCCTCTTCACTTGTTCACTATTTATTCAAAACTCATTCGGTAAAACCGTAATCCCTCTCCAACTTTCCTTCCCATCTCCAAGAACACCGTCCTATTGAGCACACCATGAGGAGGCTCTTTGGACTAGCACCGACTGCTGTGGAATCGCCTCAGTCAGCGTCTCCGTCGACTTCTCCATTGCCACCGTTTACACCACCCTCTCTTAACACTGCGGCAGGACCCGCAAGGCCTATCCGGTTCGTGTACTGCGACGAGAAAGGAAAATTTCAGATTGACCCGGAAGCCCTTGCGGTGCTTCAGCTCGTCAAGGAGCCCGTCGGCGTTGTCTCGGTCTGCGGACGTGCTCGGCAAGGCAAGAGCTACATACTAAACCAGGTTGAGTTTTATAGTTTGAGGTCGAATTTGAAATATTTATCCCATCCTATGTCAAATTCGGTTTTAATTTCTCATTCTTAGATCACTTACAGTTCATGAATTAAATGTGTCCCTTTTATCTAGTGTTCATTTGCGAATTAGGGTTCATACTTCATTCTATGGTATCAATTGGAACAATGACTAGGAGGGATTAATGTGCTTTCTTATAATCAACTAATCAAGATACACCTTTTATGAAGAAGTTTGTAGTACACGATATGTTTCAAAAGAAGTCTTGTTTGGTCAATATTATGGGACCTTATTCTCAAGTTAGAACTTAGAACTTTAAATGGTATATATGCCTACTTATATTTTTAAAACTTAAATATCCGTAATGATAAATGTGTCGTAATTATCTTGTTAGTAACTATTATTGACAAATTCCATGAAACTAAGGTTTGTTTGATGGAATAGATTTTCTTTTGCCTTTTGTGTTTCTGACCAAAGAAGCCTTTAAAACATGAATCCTTTTTGGATAAGGGACTATTAGACAGGAGTTAGGAGTTACCTTAGTCATTGAGGCAAAGTATGATTCAAAGATAATATTATGTTTATTTTTCAATTTTTTAAAATGAGGTAAAGTGAGGGTTTAGTGTTAATAATAGTTTCAGCCAGTTGTATTGCTGACTAAAGAGGCCTCACAGGATCTATATTTCTGTTACGGATGCATTTTTAGGGATTTCTTTGTCGTAGGAGTAAATATAGGGGCCATCGAGAAACTTTATTAGAAGAGGAGTCCAGCTTGATGCTATCTTTATATTTAATTTAGAGTTTTAGTTAGAATAGGATAAATTTAGTATCTAATTTTGATGATAGGCATTCTGCACTAAAGTATCTAAATAAAGAGGGTAGTATCTAATTTATTTAGATTAGGATTATTCTGAGCTTAGGACATGTCAAAATCATCAAAAAGAGGAGTTCAACTTGAGCTTATATTTTGGATTTTATTTAGATTAGGATTATTCTTTTTGAGAGTACACCGTATCTGCATTCTCCTTCCTTTAAGACTTGAGAATGTCCAATGTCTGCATTTCCTGTTTCTAAGTGGGTTAAAACTATTCATTATCCACATGTGTGCAATTCTTTGTTAAAACAATATGCATCTATAATAGTAGTTTTGTAGTGCGCCAAGCACCATGTAATGCAGAAAACAGAAACCGTTGCCCAGAGCCCAAAGGCTGAAATCCAATTTTATTCCAAGATGCTCAAGAATGAATCTTACAAGGGGTTTATATAACCTTCTAACAACAGACTCAATAAAACCCTAATTGAGCCCAAATAAAGTAGACCCTAATCAGGCCCAAATTAAATCTACTAATTACTCTACTAATAATAGCCCCAAACTAGAAAAACATAACATAAACTTTATAATAATAAGTAAAACTATAATCCCAGCCCATAACAAGCCCACAGAGGTGGGCCAAGCCTGTTCCCGCCCCCTGCTCTCCCTGCTGTCTATCATGGCATCACTGTGACACTCTCAAGGAAGAGGTTATAGAGACGAAACCCATCTGAGTTCAAGGATGTTGTTATTTAACAAAGACCCATCTGAGTTCAAGGATGTTGTTATTTAACGAAGAGCAGTTACTATAATAGATTAATGAGCACAACAAAAAAATAGTAGTTTTGTATTGCAGCGGCAGAACCACATTGTGTACCATAGGGTCCCAAGACCCCATGGCACTCCAACATTTCAGTGTTAGAAGCATGTCTATGTAAGGTAAACAGTAGAACATTTCTCCGCCAATAGCGTCATTCACCATGGTAGAAGTCTTAGTTTTTCATATATTACAACTCTTTTTAAATCTTTCATGTTTTTTGGTTTAACTAAACTTATCATTTTAAGTTGCTAGGAATTATTTTCTTTGGAAAGTTGCCGTCAAAGGAAATTATAGTGTTATTTGTGAAAAGGACTATTATTTGGTTGGATTATGTATAAATTAATGAATTCCATTTTTTTTTAATTTTTTAAGCAATAGCCCAGCAAATAGCGAAGAGATGTGAATCTATGGCATTGTTTGATGTCCTTCATGTGCGGCTGACCTACATATTTTTCCTTTAAACCAATATGTGGAGAGGGATATCTTTAGCACTGTGATCTACCTCAGGATATCTTTAGTACTGTGATCTACCTCAGGATACTATCATCGACAAAGTAATAATACAACATTTGTAATGTATAACAATTGTGGCAAACACAATTGTAGAATCATGTGATTTTATGATTTTCAGCATAATATCATCTAGTATGTACTAATTTGTTAGTATCATTGTGAGTATTTTAACTATATACTGGTTAAGCAGATGAAGGCATTACACTGTTACCATGAACTAAAAGTTGAGGCCATGCCACGAAAATTACTCTTTTAAGATTTCAGTAGACCCATGGCTATGTTAAGATGTCAAGATTCGTTTTCCCAATCCACACTGCTTTACGTTTATTAAACTTTTCTACTTGGAAGGTATATATAACTTTTGATTAATGTGTCCTTTTATGGGTTGTAGCTTCTTGGGAGAAGTAGTGGATTTCAAGTGGCTTCAACACATCGTCCATGTACAAAAGGTCTTTGGCTCTGGAGTGCACCTATAAAGAGAACTGCTCTTGATGGAACAGAGTATAACCTTTTGCTGATAGATACTGAAGGAATTGATGCTTATGATCAAACGGTGAGATTTATCTCTAACTTGCTTTGAACCCAATTCTGCATATTTAGCTTAGTGGAATGTTTATTTCATCTTATCATATTTTGCTGAGAATGGGTAGCTACCATATTTTTTTGGGTACACGAAGGATATGCTATTCCGCAGATAGAGCTTCTATAAAAAAATGATTTTTTTATGATCTGTGTTTACTCCATATGAGATTAAGCAGATTACACATCATATTCTCTTCTTTACTATTTTATGCATCTCTATTTGATAATCTGGTGCTCCATATATCGCAGATGCTGCCAAAACCTTCATTCCTTGTTGTTTGTTATGATTTAATGCTTAATCTTGTTTTACTTTTCCAACAGGGAACATATAGCACTCAAATATTTTCATTGGCAGTTCTCCTATCAAGCATGTTCATCTACAATCAGGTTGATGATATCATGCTACTGAACAATATTTCCACTCACTATAATTTTTGAACATCGTTTAGCCCTTATTCTTTTGGGAATAAGGCTTGAATGTTGTTGTTGTTTAGTCTTTTTTCTTTGTTTCATTGTTTTTTCATTGCGTCATAATTTCTTAACTGATACTTTTATTCTTCATTGAATCCAGATGGGTGGTATCGATGAAGCTGCTCTTGATCGGCTCTCGCTTGTGACTGAAATGACTAAACATATTCGAGTCAGAGCATCTGGGGGAAGAAATACAGCATCCGAACTTGGACAATTCTCACCTATTTTTGTCTGGCTGCTTAGAGTAATTTTGACCTCTATCACGTTTCATCTAAATGTTTCTAACTGCATCTCTCAGTCGTTTTGCTAACTTCTGATACCTGTATTTATGAAAAGGACTTTTATTTGGACTTAACTGAGGATAATAGGAAAATTACACCAAGGGATTACTTGGAGCTTGCGTTGAGGCCAGTTCAAGGTGGTGGGAGAGATGTAACTTCCAAAAATGAGGTATTTGATTTGAAGAAGACCCTCTTCATAAGGAGGATCTTGTTAATTTTTCTGCTCTTATGATATATTGTCACACTGCTGCATTTAGGGCTGTTGGTGGGGGGATTTTCGATGGGAAGGGAAAGGATGATTGGTTTTGTCAACTTATCTCAATTTTTCAGTTCTACATTAGAAAAATAATAACATGTCAAGTTAAATAATGCGTCTCTCTAATCTCTATAAGTTTTCATCGTTACCTTCTCTCCAACTTCCAATTATCAAAACGTAAGAATAAAGTAAATATGACCCCCTCCTCTCCAAACCCCCACAAAACAGGACTCAATGTTGAATTCCCTTCTCTAAATGAACTTCTCTTATTGATGTCTGATTTATTGCAGATTAGAGAGTCAATTCGTGCTCTTTTTCCTGACAGAGAGTGTTTTACTCTCGTGAGACCATTGAGCAATGAAACTGAGTTGCAAAGGCTGGATCAAATATCTGTATGTTACTTACCCTTGCACCTTAAGCAGGTGTTACTGTCTCTAGCTTATTTATGTCAGACCATGATGCTTCTCCCCCCCATCCCCCCTTTCAGTTGGATAAACTCCGGCCAGAATTTAAAACAGGCCTTGATGCTTTAACAAGATTTGTCTTTGAGAGGACCAGGGCCAAACAAGTTGGTGCAACGGTAATGACGGGACCCATCTTTGCCCGCATTACTCAGTCTTTTCTTGATGCACTAAATAATGGTGCTGTCCCCACAATTACGTCCTCATGGCAGGTTAGTGTTATTTTCATCATCACACATAGAAAAGGTGAACTCAAGGTTTAGATTTTTAAGTAGGTCCTGAAAAAAGCCATTTCTTTCAAGTCCACTCAAATTTGGTACCTGTTATTTTGAGCGAGTAAAACGGTCAAAGTATCCATTTCACCAAAAATAACAAATTAACATTCTATAAACCTTGCTTATTTATTAAAATTAAGGATAAAAACTTAAAGGCTCCGTTTGGTTAATGGTGTTTTCAATAAAACGCTGATATTTTTTACCTACAAACACTGCATTTTGCAGTGTGTAGGTGTCTACCCGCTGAAAAACAAACAGCCTCAAAGTATGATCTACCAAAGAAAAATTTCCACTATTAGTCCTACAAGTATTATACCAATCTCACATCATTCTATGTCTTTGACTTTGCCCATATCTGGTACATAACTATTGTCCTCGCGCACCTGTGGCCCTGCTGTCTAAATTTCCTTGACTGAAAATCACGGGAAAGAAGCTGAAAATTTAGCCAGAAGGACCATGTGTCGGTAAAGAGCAATACTTATGTACCGAATGTGGATGAAGTCAAATACGTGGACCTAATGTGAGGTGGGTATAATACCCGTACAGCCGAGAGTAGGGTTGTAAACGAATTGAGTGGAACCAAATAGTGAGTAATAGTATTCGTATAATTTGACGAATATTCGTATTCATATTCACATAGTATTCGAATCATAAATTATATTTGTATTCGGTTCATTAATGATATTCGAATATATTCATTTTTGTTCGAATATTCGAATTCACATGTTTGAAATGTCAAAAAAAAATTCACCAATTCAAAATATGAAGTATTGTATGTATTTTGTTCCGATTTTGGCAAATATGTTTATTAAAATAAATTTACAAACTTAATTAAACTACAATCAATTAATATAAGTAAACATAAAAATCCAAAGTTCAATGAACTACTTTAAATTTGAATATATATTATTTATTTTTATTATTTTAATTTAAATTATTATACATTATAAATATAATAGAGTATAGTTATTACAAAAATTTAAAGAGCCTCATATGACTCCCTTAGGGAGTCATATGGGGTAGTGTGGCACTATCCTAACCACTCATATTTTTAGTGAGGCACCCCACTAAACATATGAATGGTTAGGATGATGCCACACTACCCCATATGAATCCATAAGGGAGTCATATGGTGCTCCATAAAACTACTCTAGATATTAATCTTATATAGATATTCAAATATACGAATCAAATATATGTATATTCGTATTCGAAATTTTTTAGAATAACAAAACCGATTTGTATTCGAGTTCGTATTTGATTATTTCGAATTTAAAATTTTGAATCGTGAATCGGATAAAAAATATTTGGTTCATTTACAACCCTAGCCGAAAGTAGTTTTTTTTCTACAAGAAATACGAGATGGTGTTCTTTTAATGAAACATTGTTTGGTGGTAGATTAGATACACATCAAGTGATTTCTGGTTGATTCAGAGTGGGTTAAATTTTTATCCTTCTAATACGACCTGTAGTCCAGAAGCAACTTGCCAAATGGGTTGACATTGAAAGTTGACCAACCTCTGACTGCTGCCTGCATTTTTTTTTGTAAGTTTGAAGAATTAATCTTCCTTGTATATTATTGAGCCATCCGGCAATGATATATATACAAGTTACAGATAAGGTTAAGTTGTTACAGATCCTAAAAAGTAGGATCTATCTATTCTATCTATTCTGCGGGCTAATCTAATAATTAGAGACCTCTATCTACTCTAATTCTTATCTATACAGTCCCGGATGTACAAATAATAAAATAACATGTAAATGCTACATTTTTCTACACTCCCCTCAAGTTGGTAAGTATATATCATACATTCCCAACTTGCTTATAAGAAATTCAAACACTGGTTTAAACAGCCCCTTTGTAAATATATCAGCTGTTTGTTCTTTGGTAGATATGAATGGTGTGCACACAATTCCAGCTTCAATCTTCTCTTTGATAAAATGCCTGTCCACTTCAATGTGTTTAGTACGATCATGTAGCACAAGATTGTGAGCAATATTAATGGCTGCTTTATTATCACAATATAACTTCATAGGTAGTTCCATTTCCATATTCAATTCTGACATCATTCTCTTGATCCAAAGTAGTTCACAGATTCCATTAGCCATAGATCTGAATTCAGATTCTGCACTACTTCTAGCAACCACATTCTGCTTCTTACTCCTCCAAGTCACTAGATTCCCCCATACATAGGTACAATACCCAGATGCGGACCTTCTATCAGTTATTGAACCAGCATAATCTGCATCTGTAAAAGCTTCTACACTTCTATTGTCACTTCTTTTAAAAAATATTCCTTTCCCTGGACAGCTTTTCAAATATCTTAGGATTCTGTAGGTAGCATCTAGATGTTCCTGGAATGGATTATGCATGAATTGACTAACCATACTGACTGCAAAGGCAATATCTGGCCTTGTATGTGCCAGATAAATCAGCCTTCCCACCAATCTTTGATATTGGTGAATATTAACTGGTACTCCTTCCTTGACATTTCCTAACTTTTGATTAGGGTCAATTGGAGAATCTATTGGTCTGCAGGCACTCATACCTGTTTCATGGAGTAGGTCTAGTACATACTTCCTCTGAGATACCACAATACCCTTCTTTGATCTGGCTATCTCCATGCCAAGAAAGTACTTCAATTCTCCCAGGTCTTTGATCTCAAATTCCTGAGCAAGCTTCTTCTTCAGGTCTTCAATCTCTTTACAATAGTTTCCTGTAAGAATGATATCATCCACATAAACAATTAGTACTGCAATCTCTCCCTTAATGGAGAATTTCATGAATAGTGTATGGTCTGCTTAGGCTTGCTTGAATCCCTGCTTCTTTATCAATTGAGTAAACCTTTCAAACCAAGCCCTTGGGGACTGTTTAAGTCCATATAAGGCTTTCTCCAGCTTGCACACCTTTGAGCCATATTGTTCCTCAAACCCAGGAGGGGGGCTCATGTATACTTCCTTTTCAAGCTTCCCATTTAAGAAAGCATTCTTCACATCTAACTGTTGAAGAGGCCAATCTAGCTTAGCAGCTAGAGATAGAAGGATTCTTATAGTATTTAATTTTGCAACTGGAGCAAAAGTTTCTGTATAATCTATGCCATAGGTTTGTGTGTATCCTTTGGCAACCAATCTGGCCTTATATCTTTCAAGTGTACCATCTGCCTTGAACTTAGGGGTAAATACCCATTTGCATCCCACTGTTGGTTTGTTTTTGGGTACTTCTACAGCCTGCCATGTCTGATTCTTTTCAAGAGCATTCATTTCTTCTAAAACATCCTTCTTCCACTCAGGTATAGATAGAGCTTCCTGTATGGTTAAGGGAATAGAAACAGTGGAAAGACTAGAGGTAAAGGCTGTAAATGATGTAGATAACTGAGAATATGACAGATAGTTTGAGATAGGGTATTTAACACATGATCTTTTTTCTTTTCTGAGAGCAATGGGTAGATTTAGATCACTGAAATTATTACCTTTGTCATTTTCTGACATTGAGTCAGATTCATGGACAGTGGCAGGATCAGGGATGTCCTCTATTCTTTGATTTGGAACTCTCCTTTCATAAACCTTGCCAAAAAACTTACTTGTCTGCTGTTCATCATCTTTCCTTGTTCCAGAAAAATTTATTTCATTTTCTTTTGACTCTTGACGTTTTTTTCTAGTGCATCTAACTGTCTATTATATTGTGCATCTAGACTAATGTCAAGAGATTCAAGATTTTCATGGATATGTGACACATTATCACCATCTTCATTAGGAATCTCCCCTTGAAGATGAGTACCAAAAAAAGATTGATTTTCAACAAAAACAGTGTTCATTGTTACAAACATCTTTTTTGTTATAGGGTCAAAACATTTATAGCCTTTCTGTGTTGAAGATAGTCCTAAGAAAACACATTTTTTGCCTCTAGGATCAAATTTGCTTGCAGTTCTGTCAGGGTTGGTAATAAAATGCATCCAAAATTTTTTATGGGAAGAGAATTAATAAGCCTAGTTTCAGGAAAACTGGCTTGAAGGGTATAAATAGGAGTTTTAAATCCTAGAGTTTTTTATGGCATCCTATTAATTAAATAGGTAGCATGTAAAACAGCTTCTCCCCATAAATATTTTGGAATTTTAGCAGAAAACATAATTGCACGAGTGACTTCAAGCAAATGTCTATTTTTCCTCTCAGCTGTACCATTCTGAGCAGGTGTATTTACACAAGAACTTTGATGAATAATTCCTTTTTCAGCAAAAAAATTATTTAACTTCTTAGAAAAATACTCAAGACCATTATCACTTCTCACAATTTTGATATTAGTGTTGAATTGAGTCTGGATCATTGAGTAAAATTTTTTGAACACCTCTTCAACCTCAGATTTTTCTTTAAGTAAAAAAACCCATGTGACCCGTGTGTGATCATCTATAATAGTTACAAACCATCTTTTTCCTTTCAGAGTTGGAACTCTAGATGCACCCCAAATATCACTGTGTACAACAGTAAAAGGACTAGTTGGCTTGTAACTATGAGGGATATAAGAACTCCTATGATGTTTGGCAAGTGCACACATATCACAATGAAATGATGAAGGATTTTTATTATGAAATAACTTAGGAAACAACATTTTCAGATAAGAAAAACTTGGGTGACCTAATCTATAGTGCATTAAATACACTTCATCATTACAAGGAAAGAAAATAGTTTGCAGACAAGTTTTTTCTTGACCTTGTTTATTCAATTGTGTTTCTTCATCAAAAGTATAGAGGCCATCCTCCTCTCTAGCACTGCCAATCATCCTCCCTGATGCCAGATCCTGAAAAATGCAATAAGAGGGATAAAACTTTACACAACACTAAAGGTCTTTGGTTATTTTGCTAATAGAGATAAGATTGCAGGAAAGTTTTGGAACATGTAAGACTTTGGAAAGGTTAATGGATGAGGAAATTTTAATATTTCCCATTCCTGCTATGGCTGAAAAAGAGCCATCTGCAACTCTAACTTTCTTATCTCCTGCACAAGGTTGATATGAAGAAAAAAACTTTGGAATGTAGGTCATGTGGTCTGTTGCACCTGAGTCAATGACCCAGGTGTTTTTTGGTTTTTCAGAACAAAAAAAATGATGTTATTTTACCATTTTGGGCAAAAGAACAGGTAGGGTTTTCTTGGTTGGAGATTTTCTGGGTGGGTATAAATTTGAGTAGGTACTCTATCTGTTCCTGAGTGAATGGTAGCTGTTTAGATTCAACTCCTAACTCTTGTTGAGTCTCAGTCACAGTAGTTTGTAGGGCCCTCTCTACTTTCTTCTTTCCAGCTCCTGGTGGTTTTCCATGAAGTTTCCAGCATGTTTCCCTTGTGTGCCACAATTTCTTGCCGTGATCACACCAAGGTTGTTTCTTGTTGTCATCACTTCTGGCCACCAAAGCTGAAGAGTCCCCAGGTTCCTCATTAGGTACTGGAGTGTTGTACATGACCCTCCTCCTGCTATCTTCCAACCTGATCTCAGAAAATACCTCTCTGATTGAAGCCAGAGGTTTCTTCCCCAGTATTCTGCCTTTTACTTCATCTAGGTCTCTATTAATTCCTGCTAGGAACATATAGACCTTGTCATTTTCCTCTCTCTTCTTGTGTCTTGCCAGATCCTTGGCATTTTCCCAGTCTTCAGCATCATAGCATTGGTCCAACTCTTGCCATAGAGATACCATCTCATTATAGTATGAGATGACATCTCTACTTCCTTGTTTGGACTGCCACAATCTTGTTTTTAATTCATAGATCTGAGAGGAGTTCTCAAGATCTGAATAGGTTTCTTTAATTGAATCCCATACCTCTTTTGCAGTCTTCATGAACATGTGAGGTTTGGCAATTGATGCATCCATTGAACTGAGAAGCCAGGCTGTTACCAAAGAGTTTTCTGACCTCCAGACATTGTAGCCATCTTCACCATTCTTCTTCTCCTCTACTTCACCCGTTATGTATCCCAACTTTCCTCTTCCATCTATTGCCAGTTTGACAGACTGTGACCACTCTAGGTAATTGGTTCCATTCAATCTATGTCCAGTAATGAGCATAGATGAATTAACCGAGGTCTGGTAATTTGTCATTTGGCTAATTTGGGAGTTAGGGTGATGGGTTTGTGAGTGAGTGGAGGAATCAGAGTGTTCAGTGTCCACCATTGTGGTGTTTTAAACAACAAGGCTCTGATACCATGTAAGTTTGAAGAATTAATCTTCCTTGTATATTATTGAGCCATCCGGCAATGATATATATACAAGTTACAGATAAGGTTAAGTTGTTACAGATCCTAAAAAGTAGGATCTATCTATTCTATCTATTCTGCGGGCTAATCTAATAATTAGAGACCTCTATCTACTCTAATTCTTATCTATACGGTCCCGGATGTACAAATAATAAAATAACATGTAAATGCTACATTTTTCTACATTTTTATCTTGGTTTTCAAGTTTAGTTTTGTTGTCCACTGCAGAGTGTTGAGGAAGCTGAATGTCAAAGAGCCTATGACTTGGCTGCTGAGGCATACATGTCTTCTTTTAATCGGTCCACACCTCCTGAAGAGGTAAGCGGGGTGCTACATTAAAGGATTCTTTAACATTGATCCAAGACTAATAATATTTAGGTGATTTTAGGCTGCACTGAGAGAAGCACATGAAGAAGCGGTTCAAAAGTCGATGTCTACATTTAATGCTACTGCTGTGGGAGCTGGAACAATCAGGCAAAAGTATGATAAGAGGCTTCAGAGTTTTATCAAAAGGGCATTTGAGGTAGTAGTCTATTACTGTTCTGCTTCTGCTTTGTTCTCTTCTCCTGACATTTGCTGGTGTGTTTGGAATCCCGAAAATGCCTGGGAAAGAAAATATGGAGGAAAATAGAGGGTAAATATAGAAGGGTAAAAATATGAGGACAATCTTAAAAATTGGTTCAAACTCAATACATGTTGTGGTCAAACTTTTTTACTTATATTTTTCTATTATATAAAAACTAAAAATTAAAATATACTACCTCTGTCCCACTAACATTGGGAAATAAGGAGGTGGTGCCGTTTTTAAGAAAAGTGGGTTTATGCGGTTGTATTGATTGAATTGATAAAGTAAAAATAAAGTAAGAATGATTTAGAACCTCACAACTTTTACCAAATTTGATATGAGACGATCTTAGTGGGATAGACTGAAAAGGAAAGATGAGACAATCTTAACAGGACGGAGGGAGTACTACTTTAAAACCTTTAATCATATCCAGTCTACCATTAATATATTTTACTAACTAAAACAAAATTTAAAAAAATCTCCTTAGCATGTTCCATTTTCCAAACATTGCCCAAGTGAATGCATATTTGAAGAGATGGTTGAACTTCTTCATGTATTGCCTTGTTATTGTTTATTTAATTCTCGCCTATCTCTGACTTCATCTTGGAAGTTATTGACTTGTTAAACTCGATGTTGACTTGTGGGTTATTGATTTCTTCTCTATGCTGAACTGCTACTGATGCAGGATATTAAAAAGGATGCCTTCAGGGAAGCTTTTTTGCAATGTTCAAATGCCATACAGGACATGGAAAGGGAACTCAGAATGGCTTGTCATGCTCCAGATGCAAAAATAGATGGTGTACTTAAAGTAACTTTCATGCCTTTTGACATTTGTAGTGTAATGTTTTCTACTATTATAATCCAATTGGAATGAGTTATTAATCTTTGAGGGCAATTCAGGTTCTTGACCGCCTTGTATCAAAGTATGAAGCTTCCACTCACGGTCCTGAAAAATGGCGAAAACTTATTATGTTCTTGCAACAGAGGTTTGTATTTTGTGTTTATCTTGAAATTGTTTATTTCTTAATTAGGGTTAATTACATCCACCTCGCTCAAGGGTTGTTCAAATTGCCAAATGATCCATCCGTTTTTTTAAAATTACAAAAACACCGCTCGACAAGTCAATTATTCGGTTATTCCTTAAATGACCTCGAATATATAATATTTATGATATTAGCAGGAATTTAGCCTTTTTATACTGAATTACTCCTAGCATTTGTCCTAATCATTTCTTCATAAAAACCTTAATGATTAATCAATTAGATGGAGTAAAAATGCAAACTTAATTCATGTTCTTATCACTATATAGTATCACATTCATGAAGTGTTTGACTGCTTAAAGAGTCTATTTGTAATTTGTATGACCTCTAGGTACCGTTTTGTAATTTGAATGCAAACCTCAAGGGATGGTAGTTGCATAGTTGTAAAAAGTGTTAGATGCCCGTGAGGCGGCACACTGGGTACTATAGACATGTTTGGCATCAGCTGAGACTAGGGTATCAAATTGGATTCCTGTGGGCCTGTATGGAAAAAACCTCTAGGGATCAATCCACACTAGGGGAGTAGGGGTATCAAATTGGATTTATGCATGTCTATGCTTAAATACCTCTATGAGCGCATAGCACCTTGATAGGGGGGATTAATCAGACCTAGACGGTTTTTTTTTCTACATTAGGGTAAATACAATCGACCCAAAAAATCTTTTTCACTTCATTTCCTGTTTAAATATCTCAACTTTGCGTATTCTCCAGCTTGGAAGGCCCACTATTAGATCTCACCAACAAACAAATAGACCAAATTGGATCAGAGAAGACATCTTTGGCATTGAAGTGCCGTTCCATTGAGGACAGGATGAGTTTGATGAACAAACAGTTGGAAGCCAGTGAGAAGTACAAGTCTGAATATTTGAAGCGCTATGAAGACGCCATTAATGACAAGAAGAAGCTTTCAGATGATTACATGAGCCGTATATCCAACCTGCAGAGCAAATGCAGTTCCTTGGAAGAGAGATGTTCCAGCTTGTCAAAAACAGTGGATGCAGCCAAGCAGGAGTCTTTAGAATGGAAAAGGAAATATGAGACAGCTTTGTCAAAGCTTAGGGCTGATGAAGATCAGGTGAACTCAGAGATTGCAATTCTCAAGTCGAGAACCTCTGCTGCTGAAGCAAGAGTTGCTGCTGCTAAAGAGCAATCTCAGTCTGCTCAAGAGGAGGCCGAGGAGTGGAAGAGAAAATACGAGATTGCTGTTAAGGAAGCGAAGAATGCTCTCGAGAAGGCAGCGGTTGTCCAAGAACGTTCTAACAAGCAGACACATATTAGAGAAGAGGCTTTGAGGAAAGATTTTTCCGTTACCCTGGCTGAGAAGGTAACATTTCAACGTACACGTCTTCAAATTGCAATTTTAGCCCTGTTACCAGAAGTTGACAAATTGGTACCAACACGAAAGTTTTAATATATTAAAAGATTCTAATATGTTTTGCAGCATGCTAGTTGTCTAGTTCTTTTATTTTCACACTTTAAAATGTAGTTTTTTTAAATTTAATAAATTGTCAAGTCCTTATCAATACGAACAGTAGTTTCTGACATGTTTTGCAATTTTAGGATGTCTTCAGGCCAAATTATGTACATTTTGAAAGTAATGGATCTAACGTGCAAAAATCAATTCTAACATGACTAGTTCTGTCCTTTAAAAAACATGACTAGTTCTGTCGAATATATTGGGCCCCTACTATAAAGTGGGAGCCCAATAATCATTTTTCCCCACAAACCCACACATATAAGTAGACTGAAATCTCTATAAAAGATTGTCCTCGGGAAAATTTGTGTGGTTGTAGTTGAGAGCGTATAATTGAATAGAGGTATAATTTGTTTTTTCTTATATGTAGTCTTCCTGTACAGAGGTTTTACTCTATTTTTAGAAAATGGTTTCAATGCCGAATCAGTGCCAGTCAAGCTTTAATTGATTGTGCTTTAACTTTTTAGCACAATGTACAACCAATAAAAAGCTCTCTGCTTTAGAGAGACTTTTCCTCCATCACATGTGTGCATACTTTTTGTTCTAACTGGATTACGCTTCTTTTTTCTCTTTTATTAACCTCAACTTTAGGAAAATGAAGTCAAAGATAAAACATCAAAACTTGAAAAGGCAGAGCAGCATTTGGCAACTCTCAGTGTCCAGCTGAAGGTGAGTATCTTCTCTTTTTGGCACATTGTGTGCATGATCAGATTATTAATTCCCATCTTCTATGGATTATTATCACCTTGAAAGTGATCAAAATTCGATCTTGCTAGGGAGTGGTATCAGATTTGTCTCATTTGCTTGAATGCAGGTTACTTGTACTCCATTTTAGGGTAGGTATAGGGAAGAGAGAAGATGAAAAACAGTGTGTTGATTTTTGGAGATGTTAGTGTGGGAGAAGACAAAAAATTTAAGTCGTGCCCACCCAAAACACTCTCCATTCACTTATACTTGTCCCTGTAAGCTTGCGGAATTTAAGAGTAAGGTGGCAGCCGGCAGGCATAGTGAATAGTGCAGAAATAGTGAAAAATCGGAGAGATGATCATAAAATATAAAAGTAGGGAAAAGAAGATGAAAAGGTCAGGTCATTTATGTCTCAATGTGATGGTAGTCAACAAAAGTGAAAAGTGGCGCAAGTGATAATAAGCTTCCATTAAAGAAAGTGTAATAAATAAAAATGGAGGTAGTAGTGATAATTTGTTTTATGTGCATAACACAATTTTCATTCATTCCCAGGCTGCTGAGTCCAAGATAAAGAACTATGACATCGAAGTGTCATCATTGAAGCTTGAAATAAGGACCTTGGGTGAGAGACTAGAGACCATCAGCAGCACATCACAGTCATTTGAAAGAGAGGCTAGGATCCTGGAACAAGAGAAACTTCATCTGGAACAGAAATACAGGACCGAATTCGAACGGTTCGAGGATGTCCAGGAACGGTGCAAGTTTGCCGAGAAAGAAGCCAAGAGAGCGACTGAGCTTGCTGACAAGGCAAGATCTGAGGCCGCCACAGCCCATAAGGAGCGCAGTGAGATCCAGCGCATAGCAATGGAGAGGCTGGCCCAGATCGAGCGTGCTGAGAGACACATTGAGAACCTTGAGAGGACAAAATCCGACCTGACCGATGAGGTGGCTAGGCACCGATCAGCTGAGGAGGATGCCCTGGCAAAGGTGTCGGTTCTGGAGGCACGAGTTGAGGAGAGAGAGAAAGAGATTGAGTCGCTGCTGAAATCAAACAACGAACAGAGGGCCAGCACTGTCCAGGTTCTTGAGAGTCTGCTAGAGACGGAACGGGCGGCACGTGGTGAAGCAAACAGTAGGGCAGAGGCTCTGTCTTTACAGCTCCAAGCCACCCAAGGAAAGCTTGATCTTCTTCAGCAACAGATGACTGCTGTCCGTCTGAATGAATCGGCACTTGATAGCAAGCTCAGAACTGGCGGGAAACGGGGGAGGGGTGGGAACGAGAATGAAACAGGTGGTGGGGTGGAATCAGTCCAGGATACGAGGAGGGGTAGTAAGAGGGCCAAGAGCACTACTAGTCCCTTGAAGTTTGGTGGGTCCCCACCGGATGATGGTGCTTCGGCCTACAGGGGATTATCTGGTGAAGAGAACGAGAGCAGCCAGCAAACACCAACAGAGGACTATACCAAATTTACAGTTCAGAAACTTAAACAGGAGCTTACCAAAAATAACTTTGGTGCAGAGCTGCTCCAGCTGAAGAACCCGACCAAGAAGGATATCCTTGCTCTCTATGAGAGATGCATGCTCATCAACAAGTCTTGATTAGCCCTTCTCCTAACAAGTGCCATTTTTTGGTGTGTTGTTTTGACAGATGGGTCCAAGATTGGTTGACACTATGTAATATAAACTGCTGACATTAATATCGGACATATATAATTTCCAGGAGACCATGAAGTCTAATCATGTAAATTTTCTGTGTTTCTGTTTTCATGATTGGTCAGTCTTTTTAGGAAAATATTTGTCCGGAAAACGAAGAAATATTACATTATTATTTTTTTGGTGATGGCGCAAAGTTGTATTACTTGTATCAGTGCCTTGATTAATTATGCCTTATAACAATTGTTCTGGTGATTAGGAGTGGACTCGGGCCGGGCCAACCGGCCCGGAACTGGACCGGCCCGCTACTGTGCGGGCCCGGCCCGGCCCGGTGAACCGGTTGGTGCCCGGTTCGGGCCATCCGGCCCGGTGAGGTAGGCGGGCTGGGCCCGGGCCTCCTAAATCGTGAACCGGCCCGGCCGGTTCGGGCCCGGTCCGGGCCAATTTTTTTTTTTTGAATTTTTTTTAAGTTTTTGGGTTGGGCTGGGTATGATGGGTGGTTTGGGGGTGAGGGGGGAGGGTTGGGGGTTAATAAGGAAAAGCCAAAAAAAAAAATAAGAACTGAGGCCCGGCCCGGACCGGACCCGGGGGGTACCCGGGCTGGTTCCGGGCCTCCCCTTTCATGAACTGAGTGAGGTCTGCTGGAGTGAAGGGACTCCATGCCATGATGTTATTTATTGCCAATTTAACCGCATCTTCCAAAGATTGCTCATGCAAAGTGGGCGTAACTTTGAAAGGAAAATAATCTTCAAAAAAAGTAATGTCCCTTGAGCTTGAAATTTCATGTGTAATGAGATCAAATACATTGTAGTATGCCTTCTGCCCAGCGGGGTACCCCACAAAGACACACGGATTTTCTCTCGCTCCAAACTTGTCCTTTCTCTTGTTATCATGAGCATAAGCTAGACATCCAAAAACTCGAAGACATTGATAATCTGACATCTTGCCCAAAAGTAATTCATATGGGCTCTTATTTGAAATAACAGGGGATGGTGGTGTGTTGATAATGTGGACGGTAGTGAGAACACCCCCCCCCCCCCCCCAATTCAATAGGTAAGCCGGATTGAAAACGTAAGACTGTAGTAACTTTCAGGATATGGCGATGTTTCCTTTCAACAACGTCATTTTGTTGAGGAGTGTCTCTGCACGAAGTTTCCAAGACAATGCCTTTGCACTATAATAATCAAGTAAAGCATGGGATTGGAATTCAATGCCGTTGTTTGTACGAATGCAAGTGACCGGACTACCAAATTGTGTGCTAATCATGTTAGAAAATAGAACTAAAAATTGGGCTACATAAGACTTAGCACACATAAGATAGACCCAAACACTTCGAGTATAGTCATCCACAGTGGTGAGAAAATATCGAGCACCAGTGAAAGAAGTGCACATGTACCCCCCCCCCCCCCCCCCCTCCCATATCACAATGAACTAAATCCAAATTCCGCTGAGTTTTAATAGAACTAGTAGGAAAAGGAATGTGAATCTGTTTAGCTCAAATACATGAATCACAAAGTGAAATGGGTCATTTGTAATTCCCCAAAAAATGTATATGACGGAGTCTCTCATCAGATGCATGTCCAAGATGTTGACACCATGCATGTTCATGACGAGGAGTGACCGTCATTGCTGTTCGTTCGCCTTCATGATTGCATTGCAAAATTTGGACCTCAAAATTGCATTGCACTTCACATAGATAGGATTTGCGTTAGGACTTGATAGATTGAAGTCTAGCACAACTCAAGTTTTTTTCATTTTTAGTGTACATTTATCATTTTTCATATTTAGATGATTCTACTCATGTTTAACTTTAATATACTCCTTGATTAGTTTTTAGTCCGGTTCAATTCAAATTTCTTGAATCCGTTCATGATTTGACCGTTTTACCCAAAAAAATGATGACACCCCATTCTTGAGGGCCCCCCAACCCCAACCGGATGGTACGTTGGGAGGATGTAAGTTGGACTATAATCTCAATCTGACAGATAGAGAGTGGGGCTCTGTCCCAGTAGTTACAGAGACCTTATGCATTTTTTAGCATATTAACCTCTCATTGCAGTTGTCGGGATTCGAACCCGGGACCTAACCCTTGTGGCACTCCCGCGCTACCAGTTGAGCTTAGGGATGACAATTTAACCCAATCCGATGAATACATGCATCGAACCGAACCGGTCAAAATGGGGAAAACCGCTTTGACAGGGTAACGAGTACGGGGCGGGGAATACTCGATTTACGTAAACGAGTAATGAGACGGTTATGAGTTTATACCTACCCGCCCCATTACCCGCCTCGTTTAATTTGGATACGGTTACCCGCACCATTACTCGATCTGCACAATTAACTTACATATTTTAATAGTTTATGTATTTATTATTGGGAAAACTATCAAATAAGCCCCATACTATACCGAAAATGTCGATTAGTCCCTCGTACTTTACAAACACTCAATTAAGTCCTCGAACTATTAAAAAAAGTTCAATTAAGCCCTTTTGGTCGATAAGTAACCGGTTTCCCGGTTAAATGTTACCCGTTGTCCCGTTTCCCGGCAGCCGCCGTTGCTGGGGTTCGAGCACATCGTCGCCATCGTCGCCATCGTCGCCGTTTAACCGGGAAACCGGTTACTTACCGACCAAAGGGGCTTAATTGAACGTTTTTTAATAGTTCAGGAACTTAATTGAGTGTTTGTAAAGTACGAGGGCCTAATCGACTTTTTCGGTATAGTACAGGGGCTTATTTGACAGTTTTCCCTTTATTATTTAATATATTAAGTATATATGAATAATAGTACATTAGTATATGACACTTATTCCCTCTATTTTTTGAAAAATATTCAACTAATCGGCTATCCATTGCAATAAAAGTTGTTCACAAAAATGCGACTCTAGTAACTTTGGTGTTTATAATTTTATTCAAGTGTTATAGGTCGTAGTGACTATAAAACTTACCCATGATAACTTATAGTCACATTTATATCCATATATATTTTTTATTAGTAATATTTTAGGGAAAAAACTTCTCATTTTCATTATGTTCTTGTATACATTTACTGTTCTTAAATTTTGATATTGAATGTTGGTGGAGTATGATTATTGAATTTTTGGAAGTTAAATGTTTTTGTGATTCATATTTAAATTTTACAATCGAGACAAGACTTAATCTTTTGATGTTGATGTGGTAAGAGATTCATAATGTTGAATCTAGACATCTAATTTGTGAATATTAGGTTCAAAAGATTGTAATTTTTTGTGATTTTTTAAAAAACTTTATCTGTGGTGCTATTTAATTTTGATTTTTTTAATTTAGGTGGTCAATTATAAGTAGTTAATCATCATTTTAGGATTTATATTAATTTTGAAGAAAAAAAATTATCTGTTAATAAAACAAGTGGTGCTATTTAATTTTGATTTTTTTAATTTAGGTGGTCAATTATAGGTAGTTAATCATCATTTTAGGATTTATACTAATTTTGAAGAAAAAAAATTACCTTTTAATGAAACGGTTACCTGCGGGAAAACCGTTAACCGCGGGGAAAACCGTTACCCATGAGTAAAAAATACCCGACGGATAACAGGGCGGTTTCGGGGAAAAATATTATCAATTGGGGCGGGTAAGGGTAAAAAATTCCCGACCCCGAACCGCCCCGTTGCAATCCCTAATTGAGCTACCCCACCCGTTACCAAAGACCACTTAAAGAGACCGGTCATCTCCATTTTCGGGTCTTTTACCAAAACACGGGAAAAGTTTGTTGGAGTCACCGACTAGGGATTGGGTTTCAAAAATACCCTCCCCTCCTGTCGGATTAGCCACTTCCGACTAGGGTTTTTTCTTTTTAAATTTTTGGCGGAATTGTTAAAGCTTTTCATTTTAAATCCGAATTTAAAAGTTTATAAAACTCCCTCCTGTCGGATATGCCACTTCCGACTAGGAGGTATGTTTTAAATTAAAGTTTTTAATTTTTAAACACTTCCCACTAAAGTTTTAAACTAAATCGGCCAATTTAATTCCTGTTTTAATTTTTAAATTGGCCGAAATTCTTTTTTTTTTTTAATTAGTGATACGGGTTGGAAGCTATTTATTAAAAAAAATCCAGTCGGATTTGGGAGTTCCAACCTGAGAGGGGTATTTTGTGTTATGGTCGGATTTGACCATTCCGACAACGGGAGCCATCCGATGGTGATCCGTGTGCTTCTTGTTTTGTTTAAGACCGTTGGATATCAATCCATGTGTTTCTTTAAAATTAAAAATCGGACAACTTAATTAAAATAAGATTCCAACAACTAAATCATATAATTGAGGTCAAAGAGGACTACAAGAAAAGATTTTAAATTTAATGTTTATAAAGATTAAGTAAGTCATATTTTGGAATTAATTATAATTAACTTGAATCATACATATCGGGGGATTCATAGTTCTCAAACGTTTGGCGGTTGCTCCTCCGACCATATACCTATGACGGGCCCTCTTCGACAGTATTATTTGTAGGAGTTTCGTGGAATGTCAAATTTGTGGCAAAGGTTTTGATTTTCAAAGTTTTTTAAATTAGTGCCAGTTTAAACTAGTTTTTCCGCTATTTTGCTCAAGATCCTGAGATTATTTGTAATTGTGACACCCAAAAAAAAATAAAAAAAAAATAAAACAAATACTAGTATGATTTTTTTAGCTGATAATGATATATCAAATATAATCTAGCTGATAAGAATAAATTTGATACAAGTTATTTGACAAAAAAAATGTTAAAAGATGAATAAAACTAAACTAAGATATAAAAAATTCACACACATGCATGTAACGTATAAACGTAAATAATTACTAGTATGACTTGAGATCTCCTGCTAATTAGCAAATTAAAACATAAACATATCTTAGTAATACTAGTATGTGTGTGAATTTTCTTATATCTTAAGTCAGCAAGATTCTTATCAGCAAATTAAAACATAAACATATCAACACACATATATATTACATACAGTCATACATCATGATACATACATACATACAAACTCCATAATACTCCACTAACTTACATACAAACATGCGCATCAACATATATACACACATCATCATATCATAATATTCTCTCATAGGCATGAAAGTATGTAACGTACATACATAAATGACAATAGTGAACAACAAACAGATGGCTAATAAACTCCTGGAGTTATTACGTACTAATGCTAAGTAAATACGTAAAGTTGGAAGCCTGTACCGTACTACCGTGTACGTATACATATATGCTCCGTATA